TTTAAAGTGGATCAATACACTGATATGCTTTTTATACAGTAAATGTCATACATGTTGCCTGTATTAGATTCAACTTAAAATGGCTGTTTTTTGATTTGCCAATTTTTACCGTCTTTCCATTTATTCCAGTAAGGTCAAGAAAAGATGGATGCCTAGTACCTACTTCTTTTTTTTTTTTTTTTTTTACAGTTGGACATATGGCATTGCTTATATATAAGAAATCGCTACACATGAGCTGTTTCTGTCCTTTGTGAGTATCGTATTTTTACCCTATTTGTCGCTGTTTTTTTTGCATAATTCACATGCTCTGCGACTTTTTGGCCAAAGCAACATGTTGATGGATGTTTTCCCATATTTATAAACCAATTTTTGACTGAGCTGTTCGGTTTCATTCATTGTTACTGAAACAATTGAACACTACCATTTTCAGCCTGTAGATTGCGCTCGAGTTGTAAGGCATGCCGTTGTATCATGTAATAAATAAAAGTGGCCTCAGTAACTTTCCAAAAAGTTCAAGACAAAAAGAACTGGACTTTATTTATTATACTTTACTTAATACTTTGTTGTTTTTTCCTTGAACTTTTTTGTATTTACCATGTCCTCGATGACTGATAAAATTTATCAGCTTTTAATGACACAATCGGCTTACCAAAGCCTGCCACCTTCGTTCTTCCCGCTGCTTGGAGCAACTGTCAAATCAGCTTAATTTCGCTGGATTTCCCTCACGATATGCAGCTAATTCGACCAAAAAAGTGCATTTATTAAGTACATGTTCAACTGATACACACCTTTGCTATAATTCTGAGCAAACAAATAATTGTTTTAGGTGCTTATATTGTTAAATTTAGGAAAAAACGCATATCGACTAGTCCCTCTGCACATTCCTACTTCCTCGTATTGGCTTTTGAAATACAGCTGATTTTACATTCAAAATCCATTTATTAAGCACCAGTTAGACTGAGACACACCTTTGCTATAACGTCGAGCAAACGAATAATTGTTTTTAGGTGTTTATCTTGTTAAATTTCGAAGAAATGATCAGCGGCTTGTCCTTCTGCACATGCCCGCTTCCGCAAATCAGATTTTGAAATGCAGCTGATTGGACCTTTAAAGTGTATTTATTAAGTAAAAGTTCAACTAAGACACACCTTTGCTATAATTCTAAGCAAACAAATAATTGTTTTTAAGTGTTAATCTTGTTGAATTCTTATTAATGTCCTCCCGTGCACGCTCCCGCAACTGCCATTAAATCCTGTCTAACCCTGAATGCTAGAAAACGCCTTGTATCTGTCACTTTCCTTCCCTCAATTGATTATGGTGATATTATTTACATGAACGCTCCTACAAGAACCCTGCAGATGTTGGATGCTGTCTATCATGGTGCACTAAGATTCATAACTGGCTGTGATTATCGTACCCACCACTGCACACTGTATTCACTGGTTAACTGGACATCATTAACTTCACACAGACTCTCTCACTGGTATATTTTCATCTTTAAATCACTTCTTGGTCTGTTGCCTTCATACATTTCCTCCTACATGTCTCTGCGTGAGTGCAGCTACGGAGTGCGCTCTCAGGACATTATTACCTGCAGTGTTCCCTCAGTGAGGACTGAACTAGGCAAAAGGGCCTTCTCCTATTCCGCTCCTGTTTCCTGGAATATCTTACAAAAAGATTTGAAGCTCTCGACCTTGACCTCTCTAAGTGTCTTTAAGAATCTGTTGGACACCTGGCAGGGACCAATGCTGACATGTTCCTGTTTTTAGTTTTCTACATTTGTCTTGGAATCTAGCTGTTTTTTTGTTTTGTTACCTTTTCCTTTTAGCCATCCTATTTGTTAAAAAAAAAAAAAAAAAAAACTGTAGTATGCTTTTTTATAACTGTTTATTGTTGTTGCTGTTTTCCATTGTTGTCATCTTTCTTTGTTGAAATCAGGTCTCTCTTGTAAATGAGTCCTCGAGGCTCAATGGGATTTACCTGTATAAATAAAGGTTGATTGATTGATTGATTTGGCAGCCAATTGATTTTTGGCACAACACCGGCCCACATTTCTGGGTTGTCAGTGGTGATGCATAACAAATGTAACACATCAGCGGTGACGCATAATAGATGTGACACATACGGCGAAGTGACATGTTTATGGATTTTTCCACTTCATTAGACATATTTGGACTGATGTGACTTATAGGGTGGAAAATACTGTACTAATTTAAGTCTTAACATTATGAGTATTTTAGCCATGTTGCATAAATGGGTGGATGTATTTGATTAAGGAGTCTGTTGCTATTTTAACTTTACTACAAAAAGGTGCAATGACACATTTGCTTCCCTGATTGGGAATTGAAGCCAGGCTGTGGCAGTGAGAGCACTGAATCCTAGCCACTAGACCACCAGAGACCTGCCCTCTACAGTTGTCATTGTTGTCTACTGCTTGTCATCATTCTTTGTTAAAATCAAGTTTCTCTTGTAAATGAGTCTACGAGGCTCAATGAGACTAACCTGTATAAATAAAGGTTGAATGAATGAACATTTTTTTTCTTTCCATACAGTAATAAAATATATATATATATATATTTCTGAGTCAAAGGTTTGTCCCAATTGTCACACAGGCACATTTATTAACAAACAGCTTTAACTCTACTAAATGTCTAAAAAAAAACAATTTACATATTAAATAATAATCCTCTTCAGCTGTGTCGCCTCCACAACATTAGTAAGCATGTGTGAAGCAGCACATGAGGGAGGAGGGGCTGTGTCAAGTTGGATGGACAGAAAAAGGAGAACATCACAGATTTTCAAGTCATACAGTGAGAGGTGGTGCAGCATATAAAGCAGTGGCTTATCATATGGCTAATGACACAGTCCTTAGCGGCTAACAAAATGGCTATCTTGATCCGTCTTGTTCCACAGTTGAGACTGGGATTGTGTTTAGCGATAGAACAAGCGGCTGATTTATTAATGTCGCACCACCTCACACTGTTCCTCTCATAAGGCACAGCATGGCTAAATGAGTCTTGACCCGTGGTTTGTTTCAGGGAAGGAGGCTGAAAACACAGTCGGCATTGCAGCTGCAGTTCACACACGTTTACTAACGTCGTGAAGGCAGCGCAGCTGAAGAGGATTATTATTTAATATGTGTAATTAAAGTTCTAAAAAATAAACTATTTAATATATGTAAATAGCTATTTTTTAGATATTTATTTGTACTGTTACAGCTGTTTACTATATGTGCCTATGTGACAATTGGGACAAAGCTTTGACTCAGAAAAATGTTTTTGTTAGCACCAGCACAACTTGTACTTATATATGTAAATAAATGTCTACAAAACAAACTTTAATATATGTAAATAATTTATTTTTGACATTTATTTTGTACAATTCAAACTGTTTACTATTTGTGCCTGTGCCAACTGGGACAAAGCTTTGCCTCAGGAATATATTTTTGTTATTATTTTATGGAAAGAAAAAAATATTGAGATATATATTGTATATTGTGATTTATCTTGAAAATATTGAGATATTCATTTTGGTCCATATCACCCAGCCCTGCTATCATCCAGCTGGAACACTGAGTCTGGCTTGTTATTAAGCCATGTCTCTGTGAGACAGAGTACAGCACATTTCTTCATCTCCTCTGAGGAACTGACTGTCAGTCGCAGCAGATCCAGCTTGTTTTCCAAGGAGCAAACGTTGGACAGGAAGAGAGACGGGATATGTAATCTGTTAGCCTTAGCATTAGCCTTCTCACTAAATAGTCTCACTAACACGCCAGCCCAGCTTCCTCTCTTTTCCCCAGGCACGATGCCTCCTCTTCCCATTAAAGTGCTGCTGCCTCCACACTGATATCTGTAGAATCTGAAGTCTGCCGAGCGTAGTTTTCAAATTGTTGTTGATAGCTGATGTATCCAGAGTTAAACCCTCTCTTATGCTCATAAGTTCGGTTCAGCTATAATTCACACACAGCCACTGGCCAAAAGGATGGCCCAGCACAGAAGATCAACATCATCAGGCCAGGATTCTGCGGTCTACACTCATCTCCAGGCCAGCGGTCACTCTTTCAAGGATGAAGATGTTCACATCCTGGACAGAGAGGAACGATGGTTTGAGAGAGGAGTAAAGGAGGCCATCTTTGTGAAAAGAAATCGTCCATCATTAAACAGGGGTGTAGGCCTCCGGGTTCAACTGTCCCCCTCTTACAATGCTGTTATTGCTAGTATCACTCAACCCCCTGTGAATAGTAAACAGCCATCAGTGTGCTAATGATCCATTGTTAGGCTGATGGTCCTTCTTGATCATGTGATCAGCTGGTTTTGGTTGTCAGCAGCAAACTGGTTGATCCACTCTGAGAAGGTGCTATTTAAGAGACTGAGCTGAATACAGCACCTCAGACTGAGGAAGTCTTTCGGATGAAAGACGAAACGTCTCTACATTTTTTTTTACTTTGTTTTGTTTTTTTGAATGTCCAGAGGACCAGATTGAACTTTTTTGGATTTTTCTACCTGGATTATTGAGCATGCATCAGGATATTTTTCTACCTGGATTATTGAGCATGCATCAGGATATTTTTCTACCTGGATTATTGAGCATGCATCAGGATATAATTCACACACCTAAGGAGAGCGGAATCGGGCATGGAGCCAATTCCAAAACTAATAAAAACTGGGTTTTCACTGTAAAGCTGCAGCCCGGCTGAGCGCGGCCATCTTGGCACAAGCACTTGTATCTGCACTAACAATATTCTGGATATAGCACAATAAATGAAGAGTAATAAAATCAAAAAAGTTCTTTGTCATGCCTTGAAATAAAATGTTTAATATATGTTAATCAACTTTTAAAAAATAAACTTGTTAATTCTTTTTAAAAAAATCAGATTTTTTTTTTAACATTAGCTTGTTATCATTTAATTTTGCCCATCTGATTCATAATTTCATGATCTGCAACTTGTTTTTGTTATCCTTAGTTTCAAATAGTTACCATTATATGTTGATGTTTTGTAGGTATGCTGAACTGCAGACATACACTGAACTAGACTTCCATCCAATAAAAGATGGACATTGTGACATCATTGTTGAAAAACCCACTGTTTTTATGAAACTTGATGCTGGTAAGTAATCAAGATTTGTCTGACTTAGTTTAGGTTTTACTATCTTAATGAATTGCTAAATGTTTTACTTCTATTATGGATTACGCCTAAAAAAAAAAACCCAACAATAATGTGGTACATTTGTGTATAATTTGTGCAAATTTAAATTAATGCTAATTGCAAAATGAATTATGTTTTGGTATACCAGTGTTTCCCCTACCATTATCCAAGGAGGGCACCCCGCCTACCGAAATCTCCCACCCCCACCCCCCCACCCCGAAATCTGCCACCACTGACGTATTGCTAAGCTAGCGGCACATAACAAAGATGCACTAGCTTAAATGCTGCATACATAGAGCTCTGCTTCTCTCACCACCACCCCAACCCCATCAACAAAAATCACCAAAGAGATGAGGGCCCTCCCAGGGCAAGTGACTTAGGGGAAACACTGTATACAGATGAATTGGTCTCAAAAGTATTCACAAATGCATAAACAGTTTTTCAAATGTACACATTTCAAACAGCACAAGTAGAAATATGTTACGCATACAAATCACATAATGTGCTCACACAAATTCCTGGCTGTGGACGGATCAGTCGCACAAGCCCACATTTCAATTTGCCAGTGCTTGTGATTTTGAGGCTTTTTCCACATTTCTGATTCACAAATGTAATGCTGTGTTCTAGGCTGGTGAAACGCTGGGACATATGGGATTTACTAGGTTATTAGAAACAACACATATGACTTTATCAGTACGTCTTAACCCCTAAAATAAAACACATACACTTACACTGACATTGAACAGCTGAAATAAATTACCAAAAATGGGCAAGTTATTTTTCTGGAATAACTACCAGAAAAATGTTGAGAGCAGCATTGTGCTCTTGCAGCAGTTCCATAGCCTCTTCTAGTGGACAGTTGGCAGGATGGCAGGGTGACGACTGCAGCAAAACCTCTAAAGTAAAAATAAGTATGTGCATGTAGAAAGAATAAAGACAACAGTTGTTGCCAGTGAGATCAAACAAGTAAACATGTATTACCATTAATAATCTAAAACAGAAGTTATCCATGTCTGATAGTTTTGTACAGATGTCCCTTTTTATCACCAACCTTGAACGCAGCACTTCATTTGTGAATCTAGATTGTTAAGACAGTCTCCAAAGTCACATGTACAGTTAAACGGATCTATGCGCTTGTGTTGGCTGATCCGTCCACAGCAGGAGATTTATTCACGTGCGTTTGACAACATGTATGTGCAGCATGTTCTTACTCGTGTAGACTGAAATTGGTACCTTTAAAAACTGTGACCAGTCGTGTTAATGTATTTATTTGGTGTTAATATTTTGTTGGCCAATTTATCTTAATTTTTAAGCAGTCATTTTATGTTTACAAACTGTAATTGTCAATTTCCTCGAAGCTCAGAACCTTGTTTGAATTTTGCATTGAAGTCCAAGTTTTTTTCTTCCTTTTCTTTATTTCTTCTTTTATTTTATTTTATTTTATTGTTTGCTAGCCTACCAGATAGAAGTATGCACATCATTATGTTAAAAATAATATTTATATATATTTTCTTTTTAACAGGGGTGAACATGTACCACCATTTCTGTGACTTTGTCAACCTCTACATCTCCCAGCACATTAACAATTCCTTCAACACAGATATTAACATTGTCATGTGGGATACGGTGAGTACCAATCTCCCCAATTAATTCCTTTGGTGGAAAGAGTTTTATCCACCGATGGATTCTGTTTTTCTTTTTCTTTTTTTTAGTTTAGTGTATTTTATTGTGCTTAAACACACACTGGACAATTAACAAAACAAAACTTGTTGAATTATAACAAATTAAAATTACAAAGTAGTAGAATGAAAGTAGTTGAAGTAAACATATTTCAGATTATGTCAATACCAGTGGAGAACCGTGGCTATTAGAGCTGGACCTTAAGCTAGGATATAATCTTGAAGCACGCTATGAAATGCTAAGGTCAAATATACCATGAGGTTGTGGTACAATTGTGTCATATTACCTTTAGTTTTGCAAAACAGAAACTTGCTGAACCAAAGGTGCTTTCCTAACATATATATATATATATAACAGCTGCTTCATGTGACTTATGACATATTTGTTTTACAATAACTTACAACAACCTAAACATAAATGACAAATCAATACTAAATGGAACAGCCAACACGGACAACCCATCTGAACTCATAATCTGGAAAAAAAAATTACAAATTTCTGTTTTAGGATTATCCAGCAGTCCCTGCAGCTTAAGTCACTTGCATTTAAATTGCATATAATTTTAATAATTACATTGAAATTTAACAGTAACGCAAAGAATGTCCTGTTTCCGTAAAATCTCATCATGTAATGAAAACAAAACACAAGTGCATTTTTGAAAATTATTGTTGTAAGATTAAAAGAGATTTTTAACCTTTTATTTTTATTTTTATAGCAACTACAATTTCAGTGCAAATCATTTAATTTGGAGGTTGCAACTGAATCCATCACAAATCTTGACAGGGCAAAAAAAAAAAAAGAGCTTTGGTTATTCCCACTTTACATTAACATTAAGAGTGGTTAATTTTCTGGAGTGTCCATGACTGACCTTAGCCTCATCTAATGACGGTGAAGTCCTAACCAATGAGAGAGAGGCTTTAAACATATTTCTGCCTGGAGACGCAACTTTAACTCTTCTGATTGGATAACTGTATTTTCATGATTTACAAAAAGTTTCTTGCTCAGCTGCAATCTGATTGTTGTAGAAAATAAGTGGGAAAAGCACAATATAAAAAAATAATAAAAATAAGAAAAACTAGATTTCAAATGTGCTGAATTCTTCTTCTCTAAGAAAGGCCCTGAAGGTTCTCCACTGGCCAATACTTAAAAAAAAAAAAAACATTTTTTAACTTTTTTTTTTTGTTTTCTTTTTCTCAGAGTTATTATGGTTATGGAGACCTGTTTAGTGAAACGTGGAGAGCCTTTACAGAGTTTGACATCATCCACTTGAAGACTTATGACTCAAAACGAGTGAGTACAACTTAATTTCTGTGAGCTAGTTTTACTCTTCCATAAGACACTCTTAATTATTCCTTAATAGCCTGTAAAAGTTCTTTAGAATTGTTTTTCTGATACACTCTAAGCTTATTTATAGCAGTTTTGCACTGAATAATTTCAACTAAACTCATAACAGATAAGAAATGAGAATTTTAGAGGTATAATAATGCACCTAAGTCATAGTTGGGTACATATTTCAGGATCACAGTTTGGTACGTGTTCATTCAATCAATGATTCAGTCAATGAATCAGTCAATCATCGGGTTGCCATCCAGTTTGGAAGAACTGGACTGCTCTGAAGACATGTTGGCAACAGGCCACAGTCAGCAGCGAGGCACCAAAATAGGCCTCCAGAGAGTAGCAAACAGCAGGCGGTCAGACAGTAACTGGTTGCCAGAGGTATTGGGACACTGAATGACAACAGACTGCTGGACAGTAGCAAACATTTGGTCTGCCCAACAGAAACGGGCCACTGGACTATAAGCTAATAGTAATGCTAAGGTTCAACACACAAAATTTGGTGGCCATGTACATAATGTCAACCATGTGAGCTAGATTACTTGAAAAAAAAAAAAAATGATGACTTGCATTTTGGTGTGTGGCTAGGCATAAGAAAGATCCCTTAAAAAAAAAAAAAAAAGAACCGCCACATCAAAATCCAAGATGATGACCGCCATATATGAATGAATATACCTGTATGTGGAACCTGCGTAACTTGAAAAGTAATTAACATACCAACTTCCTCTTTGGTGTGTGGCTCTATCTAGGTTTTAAAAAGGTCACTGTCTAAAATCAGGTTGCCAAGTACAAGTCCAAGATAACCATCACCGTATATATATGTAAACAAGCCTCCCCTACCATTTGAGGAAACTATTAAGCTTTACAGTTTTTATATTGCCTCAAAGTAGAGTTTCTTCAAATGATTTGCATGGGCCTTAGGGTGGCTGAAGATTAATCTATGGTGGCCCAGGCTACCCTTGGTCACCCCTGGCTCCACCATTTGCATGGTTGTAATAAAATTGCTCCCTCGACTTGACATGATCCTACTTCTATTCTTATACACATTATAACTCATACCCATTTGAATATCTTGTACCAAAAACATTAAGGTTTACTTGCATCCCCTTTTCAACTTCAGTCCAGAAAAACACTCATTTGAAAAACTACAGACAATCTTAACTATTCAAGTCACACAGCAATGGAGGACACCAGCGTACCTCTTGTTTAGTTCATTTATATATTTCAAAGGCACATATGATTATAAAATGAGTGGCTGAATTTATTGCTCTGGATAACCAACCAATTGTGGTTGTGGAGAAAATAGGTTTTCAACAAAGCAACTGGTCTTCAGCTCTGTAGCTGAAGATGTTTGGCTTCCCATCTGGGAAGCTTGGTACGCCACACTTTCCAGTTTTAAATTGAGAACGCTTCCTGGATAGGAGGTAAACTTTCTTCATCTTCTGAATAGAAGTATAGTCTTTTTTTTTTTTTTTTGGATTTGCCATGGCAAAGATGACTGAGAATATCAATCAGCAGGTTGAGTCTTTCAGTCCTTTTGTAATCAAATACCCTGAGTAGGAACACATATATCTACAAAAATAAACTATTAAAATGTTCTGTTGTGAATGACTGCCCTCTTGATCTATTTTCATTTGTCAATAGGTTTGTTTCAAAGATTGCTTGTTCTCCCTTCTTCCAAGAATGAGATATGGCCTTTTTTACAACACACCACTGGTAATGTCCTTCACATATTCATGCATGTTTTTTTTTTTTTTTTTCATTGTGTCTTTTTTCAAACAAGTTCAAAATAAAATTAAAAATTAAAAAACTGCCTGAAATTTTCAGGAATAATTATTGTCCCCCTCAGCTTACAACAATTTTCTGATAGAATAACATCACTAGATCAATAACAATAATCATGCTTGTAGTCTGGGATTTACAAAATAACAGTGTAACACTTTTTCATTACTTATTATTATTATTATTACATCATATGATAAATAACTTATTTGCATGACACCTTCAGTGGAGCATTTTCATTGTGTGGCTTCACTTTTGAAGGAGTGCAGTCATATTTATAAGCCCGTCTAAGGCAAGACTCATTATGGTATGTATGATCTTTGAACAACCAATGAGACCAAATAGAAAAATCAACCAAATGAAAAGTTTATTGAGCCTTAAAGCTCTTTAAATCATAATAATTTAGCTTGTGTGAGTTGTTTGTACAAGTCAATTTTAGTTTATTTTAACTTTATTTCAACACAACTTCAAACGTAACAAATACATTATTTCATTTCACGTGTGACATTTTCCAAAATAAAGGAACTGCCTGCAATTTTATATATATTTTATATTTTTTAGTTATTCATTGGTCTATTTTCACAACAAGCACAATAATATCCAGTTCAACGAAAACCATCCTATTATGCCCAATATTTATTGGATGCATTCAAACATCAGCAGAAGCGACTGCGCTTAGGTTATTTAAATGATAATTCCAAGGTAATGACTATAAAGATGATACCATATAAATATGTGTTGTCCCGTGGTTCCAGCCTTGAGCAGTGAAACATTGCTCGGTCAGCCTCAAGCTGATGTTGATTTTCGTTGCAGGATATATCATGTTTATATTCATGTGTTCACATTTAGGACTGCTCTGCAGGAGTCTTGAGTATGAGAAATTCACTGGCTCATATAAAATTCATTTCATGGAGATAAGGAAATAACCTCATCTCCATGAAACAACCTAACAGTTGTCTAATTCTCACTCCTGAATACATTTTTCACCAGTATGATGTGTTACGCTGTGTGGTCAGAATCTTGTTACCCTTGAATTTTTTTTTTTTCAACTTGTCGAGTATTTTTTGTGACAAATTATCTTTTCTGTGACATAGGGGTTATAGGGGTTTTATTATAAATTACAGATACTGAGCATATAAACATGCATGAAGGAAAGGGACCCTTAACTTTTTGTGTTCATTGCAGGTCTCTGATTGCTACACTGAAGGGATGTTCAGGGCTTTCTCTCAGCATGTCCTGCACCGGCTGAACATCTTTCAAGATGGGCAGAAGGTAGTACAATCTTCAAGGAGTAAATCCTCTGCCTTTCATGCCATATTTTTTAAACTAAAATCATGTTTTGATGAGAAATACCAAAGTTACAGCAGTTTAGTTAAACCTTGTAAATATCATACAATATTACAAGATCTTTCAAGATGTGTATTTTTAGGCAACTACCAGTTAGCCTAACATGCATGTTTTTGGTCTGTGAAAGGAAATTGGAGTATTCAGAGAAAACCCACACATGCACAAAGACGTGCAATCTCCACAGAAAGACTAACAAGGTTGAATCAGATCCTCTGGACAGATTCTTCTTTGTTGAAACGTTTCGTCTTTTATCCAAAACACTTCTCCAGACTGAGGAGTTGCAATTAACCCAGCCTTATAAGCAGAAACTTCTCAGAGTGGATCAACCAGTTTTGCTGCTGACAGCTGGTTTTGGTTGTCAGCAGCAAAACTGGTTGATCCACTCTGAGACGGTGCTATTTAAGAGACTGAGCTGAATACAGCTCCTCAGACTGAGGAAGTCTCTCGGATGAGAGACGAAACGTTTCTACATTTTTTTGTTGATTTGCTTTGTTTTGTTTTTTTTGAATGTCCAGAGGACCAGATTTAACTTTTTTAGATATGTGTGAACATCTTCATCCCTGAAAGAGTGACCGCTGGTCTGGAGATGAGTGTAGACCGCAGAGTCCTGGCCTGATGATGTTAATCTTCTGTGCTGGGCCATCCTTTTGGCCAATGGCTGTTTAGTTTCCCCGATGTAAGACTGATCACCCTCCTGACACTGAACAGCATACACAATATTACTCTGTTTGTGCCGGGGGACTGGATCTTTGGGATGAGCCAGTCTTTGCCGTAATGTATTTTGGGGTTTTAAAGCCACTGGGACGTTATGCTTAGAAAATAAACGTCTCAGTTTCTCTGATACTCCCTCAACATATGGAATGACCACTGGTCTGGGTCTGGGTTCCTCCTTTTCGCCTGATGGCTGACTGGAGTCCTGTTTGGGTTTCTTCTCTGCTTTCAGGAAGGCCCAGTTAGGATATCCACATTGCTCTAGAGCCTGTCTTGTGTGGGATTTCTCCTTCTGCCTGGCTCCTGAGTTAGTGGGGACGCTGTCTGCTCTGTGATACAGAGTCCTGATGACTCCTAACTTGTGCTCCAAAGGGTGATGGGAGTCAAACTGCAAGTACTGGTCTGTGTGGGTGGGTTTGTGGTACACTGCAGTTTCCAAATGTCCTCCATCAGAGACTGAGACCTCACAGTCCAAGAAAGCCAACCTGTCATCTTTGAGATGAACTTGATGTATTTATCCACAGAGTTGATGTCATCAATAAAATGTTGGACTTAATGAGATTTAATTTTAACCCAGGTGTCATCAACATACCTGAACCAATGACTTGGTAGTGTCCACCCTGAAAGGTTCCCAGCTGGGATTTCAGCCAGCAACCTTTTCACTGAGAAGTAACAGCTCTACCAATTATGCCACCATGCCGCCTAACTTTTTTTTTTTTTTTTGCAATCTGTCTAATTCACTTTATTTGTTCTCAAGGGGCAGTTAAAAAAATGGAGCATTAAAAGCAGCAGCAGCAACTCAAAGGACTAAACCAGACCCACAGTGCAACATAACTAAAACATACAACACCTGCAGCGAAACTCAACATACAAGTGACATTCAGTCAATAAAAACACAAAGGCATCGACAACATACAGAGCAACGCTCAACTGCACTCACAACAACAAATGTAAATCAGACACACTGACCATCATTCAGGGGTTAAATGGTAAAGATAGAAACCACACGTAAATAAGTTATGAAAATGCATGTATAATTAATACAATTTAATAAAATGCATATATAAATAAAAAAGAACAGTTGAATATGCTATAGAACACATGGATGCACATTCTCCAAAATGCAGTGTTAATATCATAAATTGTGTAAAATGTAGGGGCATTGGAAGCAGCTGTTAACTACACGCTCATAACTCTGTTGTCATGAATGTTAGGTATAAATTTGGGTAACAATAACTCTTTCCAACAACCCAGTGTTAAAAGAAGGCATACATCAGTACACTGAGTTTTTTTATGCCCAGATTAGAGTGGATGTATCTTTATAACCAGCATCAGCTTCCTGATAGCCTCTTCCTTTGTCCAGAGCTGCTCATTGGCTGTTCATGCTAAGAGGCTTTGCAGTGAGACACAGTGCTGATGATGATACCAGAAGAAGAGGTCTTCTTGGTCCTGACCCTCTCCACAGCTCTTACATTTATCCCCAGATTAATAGCATCATCCATACACTCCCAGTCTTAAAGCTGCTACTCTCCTTCTTGTCATCTCTTCTAGTTTATCTTCTCTTATAATCACTGTAGTCTTGTTTTACTTACCACAGCTTTCTCCTGTTTATTTTAGTCAGATAATATAAATTAGATCAGAGCTAAATGAAGAAAAACATTTTGCTTCCAGGTTTTGTAATTTGGGCATTTACAGGAATGTGTTAAGGTATTGAGCCGACAACAATGAACGTGTTATCTCTGGCGTTTGTTCTCTTACTAAGCTTGCATACACTTTCTGAACACAAGGTGGCAGCAGAGACTGCAGAATGAAAAGTAATCGTCCACTGGCTGTTCAAACATCCAGGAGGAGATTGAGAGGAGGAAAAAAAGATGATTTTCAGACATTTCTCTCCGTCTGCTTTGCTGTTTGTAAGAGGCTTTTGATGCAGAACTATAATGAGCAGCATGTTTTACAAGCGGCCTTTCTTTTGTGTCCTTGGCTGATTGATTATTGGGTTCAATGCTGTTTTCAGGAGGGGCGTGTTCGTGTCACCCTGCTGGCGCGCAGCACAGAATACAGAAGAATACTTAACCAAGTGGAGGTGACTTCAACCGCTTCCTCCCTCCCCTGTTTTATTTTTCACTTCACTCTCATCATGCTGTCCTCTTTTCCTCTTCCTGCTTCTGTTTTATGCAACTTTACGCTCCCATTCCCTGCACCACCCCTGTCATTGATTAGCCATCCACCTATGCTTATTTGAAATCTGTTTTTGCTATAAATGGCTCAAGTACAAAAAGACTGTGATTTACGAAGTCAGTGCCTCCTTGTTTGTTTGTTTGTTTGTTTACAGCTGGTAAATGCCCTCAAGACTGTGTCACTGCTGGAAGTCAGTGTGGTGGATTATAAGTACAAGTGAGTTATGGGTTGTTTGTTTGTGTTTGAGCTGCCTGACATACATGTGACTCCACTTACGTCTTTCAGGGAAATTCCCTTCCTGGAGCAGCTGAGGATCACCCACAACTCTGACATTTTCATCGGGATGCACGGGGCCGGGCTCACTCACCTCCTCTTCCTCCCTGACTGGGCTGTCATCTTTGAGCTGTGAGTGGCAGTTTTTTTATTCTTTTATTTTTTGGTTCAAGTGTGTGTGAAAGACGGAACGTCAACAGAGGCTGTGGAGCAGAAAAAAAAACAAAAAAAAACACCAGTTGCTTTGGCAGCATCCGGTTTTTAAAAGTACCACTCAACCACTCGCGGTTTGAGTGTGAAAAAGTGCCTAATTAATCAGGCGCTCATCACACCTGGCAAGCCTTGGCAGGAAACCTCATAGGAAAGCGTGTGTGGCTGCCCAGGTGGCATGGTTTTGTGTGGATTTCCATGAACGACACAGAAGAGTGCGCACACATACAATGAGAGAGGGGGGAGATTGAGAGGGCAGGGAGAAGAATTTCAGAGATGAGTGTCTGCATATTTTCTTTTCAGATATAACTGTCAGGATGAGAGCTGCTATCAAGATTTGGCTCGTCTGCGGGGCATTCAGTATGCGACTTGGCAGAAAATGGACAAAATGCTCCCACAGGACAAGGTGGGAAAACTCACTCACAAGCCGCTGGCTGCCCTGGAGCACAACTGAGGCTCTCTGGACTCAAACACACAACTTACTATGTGCAATCTAATATTAAAAGCACCAAAAATGTACAGTTGTTCTTCCTCATTTGTTGTCTTAGGGTCATCACCCTACCCTTGGGGATCATCCTAAGTTTACCAACTACTCCTTTGATGTGGGGGAGTTCATGCGTATCGTGTTGGAGGCAGCTGATTACGTCACACGTCATCCCAAATGGCAGCGTGGACCACATCATGATGAACTTTAGAGCATCTGTGAGTATCAGAGGGAAACTCTGGTGTTTTAACATAATAAAGACCTCTATGTTCCATTTTTTAGTCCTTAAAAGTGTTTGGTGCATCCCCATCACACATAGCCGTTGTCTCCTCCTGCCTGCTAGTTTGATAAATCAAGATAAAAGGAAGCAGTATGGCGACACCTCACGTTTGAATCACTTTCACTGTCTTTATTAGTGTCAGATCAGTTAAGGTGTACGAGCAGTTGAAGCAGCTGGAGAGTAATAAGATGTCTCCCATATTTCTTCATTACCTCTGCGGCGGCTACTTCATTCCATGTCGTCAAAGTTAGTAAATGAGCAGCTGTTGCAGCGTATCTTCACACGCTGCATCTTGTCCCGTTTGATCAACGCCACGTTGATGGGAGCTGCTGACAACCAAGCTGCATTTTCTGGGCACATATTAACTGTTTTATACAGTGTGTGCTTCTTTCATGTTGGATTCACTTTTCAATCAACTTTGGCTGCTTAAAAAAAATTTAAAATAGGCAAACATTAATATTATCAACCTCGTAGAAAAACCACATGGACTTTATTTGTGGAAATCACTTAATCACATGTGAATCATGAATAAATTAAAAGGAGACATATGTAAAACACGTGTTTTGCACGTTTTCTAATAACATATGACGTTACCTTTGGAGACTGACATGATTTTACTTGTGAAAACATGTTAAATTTACATGAGAAACACGTTTTGTAACTGTTTTCTGTTTTATTTGGGAACATGTTCAACATGTTTATGTGGTCATTTTTTTCTACAAAGAATTTCATGTGATAAACATTGTAAAATCACGATTTTTATTTTTTCTGTGAAGGCATGTATCTCTGGACATTTTTCTTTGAAGAGCTCCTGGAAGAGACCACAAAGCTCGCTAAGAAGAATTAAATGTCCGTTCTGACCTGGGATCATCTTTAGAGCCCTCAGGAGGAGCTGAAGAGTGGTGCTGAGGAGAGTCCAAGACCTGACCATGGATAAGCAGAAAATAAATGGATAGATGGATAGATGGATGAATATAATCACAACATGTTAAAGAACTGAGACAGTGATAAACAATATCATTGTCATTTTGTATTTATTTATTCTACGTTTATTTGACTAATTGGACATAATTCTGTTTAAGATGGCTGCCACAGCTAAGTGACCTTAATAAATATAAAAAATGGTAATAATCCAGACAAGTCCACATATATTAAACTAAAACTTGATGTGTTAGTAGCTGAGAGTCATCCACAGCACATGCACCGAGCACTCCAATTTGCACAATTTTTCTTTAAAACTTTGGCAGGTTAAGCAACGGAGAATATTAATTCCTTGTAGAACTTCCTTTTTTACATTTTTATTGTTTATCATGGCTCTCTGTATAACCCCACACTCTTTCTCGCTGTAAGGAAATCTTGTGGTTAAGTTTTGGTCATTAAGCACTCGTCCTTTGTAATAGTTAAAATCCAGGAAGAATGTGTCACTCCAAAACCAAAGAAAGTGTTTTTATTTTGAAATCATCATTCCTGTTTATTTGTGAATTGTACACCAGTGTTAACTAGTGTTGTAAAGAAAGTTAAAGTCATGTGGAAGGAACTTTTAATGCACCAAACTGTAATTATAGTACTGTTTTTTGTTGAAGGAGTTTTAGTTTTTATGTCATTTTAACTTCAGCTGTGTTTAATTTTTATAAAATAGCTTTTCGTGCTCATGCTTGTTCAGGCACAACTTATTTTGTGTTTTACTTAAAAATCAATGTTCAGAATGTAAAATGATGAGGGCTGCTACCGTCTGCTGCATTTCCTAAACTCATGAAGATGTAAAAAAAAAATATAAAGATTTAGATGCAAAACATTATCAGAGTCAGAGTTACTTTATTTGTGGCACATGTGGTGGAACGAGACCGTGTACCCAGGGTCCCAGTTACATCCAACTATTATAGGGATTATAGGGAACAATTATAGGGATTTTTAGCAATCTGATATTTTATGAATAATCTGCTTGAACTTCTCTGTGATGTTTTGCAATGTCTGTAAAAAGTATTCACTCCCTTAAATGTTATGCTTTTATTAAATCAGTCACGATCAATATAAATTAGCCTAAAAAAACACACTTAATGTTAAAGTGAAATAAAATTTCTAGAGGAATAAAAACATGTAATGTAAAATATGTGATTGCATAAATATTCAACCCCTTTAAAGTGTCAGTTTTAACTTAACTCAGGTTAGGGATGGATACAAAATGATTTCCAAGACCATAAACATCCAGGGGTTCTGGTGAATCCATCAAGAATATGGAACATGTGTAAATCTACCAAGAGCAGGCCGTGCCCACAAACTGAGCCATGTGCAAGCATGACATTAGTGAGAGAGACAACCGGCATCTTCGAGCACTGAAGCAGTTAAAAGCTTTATCAGGAGGGATGGGAGAACCTCTGCATACACCAACTGTTACCCATGTTTTCACCAGTCTAAGCTTTATGGGAGAGTGGAAAAGAGAAAGACGCTGTGGAAGAAAACATTAAATCCCCAAAAGAGCCAAACCATCCATAATCTTTACCTGCTTCTTCATTTTTCAGGGTTCACTGGTGCCCATGTCCAGCCATCACTGTGTGGGAGGTGGGGACACCCTGGACAGGTCTCCAGTCCAGCACAGGGACACATAGAGACAAACAACCATTCACTCTCTCACTCACACCTAGAGACAATTTAGAGTTAACAATCAGACTAACATGCATGTTTTTGGTCTGTGGGAGGAAACTGGAGTACCCGAAGAAAACCCATGCATGCACAGAGAGAACATGCAAACTCCACCTAGAAGAGTCCCCAGCTGGGATTTGAACCAGCAACTTTCTTACTGAGCTGCAACAGCTCTACCAACTGATACACCGTGCCGCCTCAGTCACAACAATTTAAATAGAAATTCTAATAAAATTTAACATCGAAGATTTTTTTAAATATATTTTCGTTTGTTAAAATGCCAATCTATACTGATCATGGATGATTTATGACAGCAATATAAGCACAAATCTAAATGCTTTTATCCATAACTGCTGATCTGATTCTATGATGCTGATTCTGACCTTTATGGGTTTTGACTTTGCTTGAAATTTGGTCAGTTTTATTTCCAACAGATGTGTGCCGTTTTGAAATGAAGACTTTTTGAAAGGGGGCAAATTAGAGCATGTGATCCTCTTCCTGTGCAGGCCACATCAAGCATCAAACATTTATTTCATCTCAGTTTAATCAGTCGTTTTTTAAAGTCTGACCTTGCAGGTAAAACAGAAGCCTCTGTTTTGTTGTTGCTACACGGCCTTTTGTTCGTTGTTTTTGTGAGTTTGGGTGTAAGAAGACAAAAGTGGTCTGTTTTGTTGTCAGCAAAATGAAGCTGCGTGACCTCCAAAATAAACGTCTGACAGTGACTAGTCTTGACCACAGGGGGGCAGTACAACCCCACACATGAGGCCAGACCTGAGCTCAGTGGAGTTGACTGTAAAAATAATGGATTCACAAAAATACCCCCCAAAGGTCCCATGAATACTATTTGTTCAGGGGCGTTTGCTTCTATAAGCCAACTTTGCTGTCAGCAGTGGAGCTCCTGTGCGGATGTTGCATCTGAATTTTCTGGGTATTGACAGACACCGAGCCCAGCTGGGATGGACACTATTTATGGCCCTGCTCGGGTTGCTGCCAGTGACCTCGTAAAGAAATGAAGAATCTCTTTACTTGGGGATCAAAAGGCAGAGGAACTAAGATGTCTGTGCTCCTTGTGTAGAGTGATAAGATAACCAAGTCAGGCTTTCGGGGAGAATCTATAAAACGCTGGCAAAAAGCAAATAAAACCAGTTATTACTGGTGTGAGGTGCAAAGTTTGTACATTACCTTAATTAGTGGTGATGCTTTTACATTTTCTGAACTACCAGGACTCAAATTTTGTGTCTCAGGTCTTGATCGTGTTCCAGGTGTAAACCTCTACGTCGAGGATGTCGTTTTTTTCAGCAGAAATGACAAGAATTAGTTAACTTGCATGTCCTTGCTGAAGGTTTTAACACTACAGGAAAGACTCAGCAAAGTCTTGATGAAGGAAGCTGCACCCAGCATCCTCTTTATCACCTCCGAGCTGGCATTCACGTTTTAAATTTTTTTTTAAACATTTTCGAGAGAAATTCAATAAAACACACATTTTCTGGTTCCTTATTCCTGGTTTCCTGTCCTGATCTCCTTATAGTTGCGTGTTTGCACTTTCATCCTTCACCTGCCGTAATGTAATGTTTATCTCTAAAGACAAACAGCTTCTCCCTGCTGAATAAAATCTATCAAGGTCTGCTCGTTTTACTTTGACTTCTTTTCCACACACCACATATAAGAAATACAAGAGGAGTTTATCCAGGGATATTGATCTAAGAGCAAGAAATATACCTTAAGTTATGGGCAGATATTTCTTTTGTGCTTTCATTCCTCTGGGTGAATAATTCCAGATGAGATCCTGCAGCCCTGCTCCTGTTACATGATGCAAGAAGACATATTCAGTGTTTTACCTTTTTTATTTCAACCACAACACGTGGGGATGATTGTGTGCCATTCTTGTTTAGAATCTAAGACAAAATCTTTTGAAGATGGCTCTGTAATGTATGAAAACAGGTCCATTAAATTTCACACCGTTCATCAGCATGGGGGGAAGAGTCTGCGTCACATGATGCAGTTTCCACTGATCCTATCAGACAAAGAGATGAGATAAGTGCTGCAGGTTGTTGCCTCCATTAGCTGATAGAAAAGGGGGCCCACTGGGACGTGCAGGTTCAGAAGCAGTCAGAATATGAACTTTTATCCCCATTTAAACAATACTTTTGAACGTTTTGTTGCCTCCGAGCTGTAAACTCAGTGTGGAACTGGAACCAGGAGCACCTCCATTCTTGCCTCAAACTGGTCAGAGCCAGACGGATCGATTTGTAACAGATTCAAGCGAAGATTAATCGGTTGAAAACAAACACACTGTTACTTTTATACCTCCACTGTACATGGTGGAAGAGGTACTTTTTTTATTATAGACAATGTTTGTTTTAGAGGAAGTTATTCGTTTTCAAAAGTAGAGCAATAAGTTCCAGTTCTCTGACTGAACAAAGTGCAGCACTGTGCCAAACTGAGCCTGACTAAATGTTGGAAGAACTCCGGAGAGTTTCCACTAGAAGACAACTGGACTCAGTTCCAGCAGTTCAAGATGTTTCACTTGTCCTCGTGGAGCTTTTTTTTTTATTCTAAAGAGAAATAGATTATTCCAAACTTTTGATGTGCAGGAAGGTGCTTCATTATTGCAGCATGAAATCATATTCCTCCTCTTTCCTCCTCCTTTCCCTCCTGTGGGTCCTTTGGTCACAGGAAAGTGTGAATTTGAGTTAAATGTCTGGAAATAAAACTTAAAGCTCCATTGCATGTGTGTTTATGAGCTCCAAGCGACTTCATGAATAACGCGTTATAAAGGGTTATTTCAATGTTTGTGAGCAGAGCCGACGTGCCCGAAGCTGTGCATGCGCGGAAAACATGAGGGAGATGTGAATGGATCGGATCCCGCTCACCTCGGGTCGTTAGTGGACATCGATCTCCTCTAAGTCTTAATGACTGCAAATACAGCGCGAGACAATCAATCGCCATCAACACGCCGGAATATTCTGGGATGGAATAATTGATAGGCTTGTCTCCTGGCGCGTAACGGAGAGGCTGCGGTGATTAAATTCGGTTTAACGTCATGGTGGTGGTCCGTGTGGAGGTGCACGCGCGCGCGTGTGTGTAGAGGGGGTGGTAAAGGGGTAAAGTTGCGGGAGAGGAGGCGGGTTAACTTACATCATGCGCGCCATCAGCATCAAGCGTTGATGTGCAACATGAGCGAGGAGGAGACAGTGAGTGTCTATTATGGGTCTCCGAGTCCTGCACGTGTCAGTTTGTGCAGGAACAA